TAACATTTTACAGCTAAAAAAAAACCTATTGATTGTTACTTAGTATAATGACAACATACATCAAGGTTATTGAAATTTGTGAGTTTTACCGTATAATGAAATAAACTAATATTTTCATGCATGTTCTTACGTATAAGATTCAATCTAAAATATATCAAAATTCTTCTCGATTCGCAAATTAATAAGTAATTATATAAATCTTGATTAATAAATGAAATTTATTTTCACAAATGTGTAAGACATGAATTATATATGCTTATTTATTAATGTGGAATTAAAAAACAACTTTTTTATACATTATCCATATATTATTGAACCAATGTATGTACATACAGTGGGATAACTTCTTGTTCCTTACATTGTACGAGGTAGATAGGAGTTTGTCACAGCTAGCAAAAGACATTTTTCTTGAGGGATATAAATGATAGGATTATTTTTACTCGTGCAGATAAGGGGAATGTGACGGTAACCTTAGATAGACAGGTGTACATTTCAAAGGTAAATGAGATATTTCGGGATGTGAATGCTTACGAGGTAATTGAAAGGGATCCGACGAGGAGGATGGTAACGAGCTTACGCGCTTTATTAGTTGGAGGGAAAAAAAGTAGCTTCCACATATAGAAGTTTGTTAAGTAACGATGAGATACTTTCGAGATCTTACGGCAGGATTGCCCTTTCATATAATAGTTTCTTCGATAAATAGCCTTTTGTATTCGTTAGCAATATTTCTTCATAATATTATCATAAAAACAATTCCTGAGGCAGATAGTCATATCGAAAACAATTTTTAACTTATTAAGGAATTTGGTGATAGACATTTGAGTGATGAATTTCAGTTAATATCACTATTGTGAGCCTCTTCACTAACGTCCCCATTAACTATGCGATGGACTGTATTAAAGATCATTGACGATTTATTTCTAGAGATTATTGTTTACCGGAGAAGGAATTCATCAAAGCGGTTCAATTTGTTTTAGATTCTACTTTCTTTGTTTTTGATAGTGTTATATGTAAGCAGAATTACGGGACTCTTACGGGCTCTCCATTATCTCCCGTCATCGCAAATCTAGTTATGCGAAAACTGGAGGTTAGAGCTTCTTTGATTCGGTTTCCGTTGCCCTTTTATCTTACATAGGTTTATTGACGACATATTATATTGGCGACACCTGCGTTTTCGGTTAATTCTATTCTTAATATTTTTCAATTCTCAGCATCCTAAGCTTCAGTTCACTATGGAGATAGGGAATAATAGATTGAATTTTTTGGATGTTACAGTGATTAGAGATGAGAGTTGATAGAGTTCAATTGGTACCATAAGCCGATTTTTTTTAGTAGATATTTGAATTTTTGATCACAGCATCCGGTTTCTCAAAAAATAGATACAATCGCGGGATTAGTTGATAGGGTAGTTTTGCTTTCGAATCCTAAATTTCATCTTGATAATTTATGTTTCATTATTAAAGTATTATAGAGAATGATTATCCATTGAACTTTATATTTGAGAATATTAACAATCGTTTGAAGAAAATTATTATGGCTAGTAATAGGAAGAGTATTGTTAATGATAATAGGGTTGAAACAGTGCAGCCTTCGTGGTTCACTTCGTTCGTGATTATTGAGAAGCTTAGTAGATTGAATAGCGAGCGTATGAGGGTTTCATTTTATAGTATTAATAAATTGCGAGAATTCATTAGGATGCATAAGGACCTTTTACCGCGTGACAAGAAATCGAATGTTGTTTATAAGATCTCGTGTAAGAGTTGCGATGCAAGTTGTGAGACAGACGTGTAGACAGCTGAGGTTAAGAATCACATCTAATGGAATACTTCTACTCGTAATGTCATAACGGAACATCGGTTACAAGAAGGCCATGATTTCGATTGGGATACCATTACAATACTGGACGAAAAGCCTCACTACAGGAAGAGATTTATTTCGGAGATGATATTCATCAGGAGACAGATGCATGGACTCAACTTGCAGACGGATATAGATGGGTTTCCCAAAGCTTATCTCCCGATCATAAACAAACTATAAAGGTTGTTGTCGAGTCAGTCAGTGTCGTTCGTACGCAGTAATGAGTCTTTTTGGCGTGTTTATCGATTACTTTCTTGTTCTTGGAATAGATTAACGCTTTAATGATACATTTTTCCATTTGTTATCTCGGAAAATTACTAGTTAAAAACAAAAGTGTCACTCACTGTGTCTGATATTGACTGGCCAACATTAACAGAAGCCGATTCTTGAATTATTTTTGTAGTGTTTACGATATAGTGCTCTGTGAGCGTCCTTATATTTGCTGGATAATTAATTATAAGCTTAAAATTGTTTGATAAATTAGTTCTCCATATTCTATTTTATGATATTTCCTAATTTCTTTTCTTTTTTCTTTCACTCTTTTTGGTTTTAATTCCGACATTTAAATTCTCGATGTAGGAGAGCTCACCATAACAGGATAATTTTTATTCACAATTTTTATATATGTTGGTTTATGTTATCTCTGAGGAAGGAAGCTCAAAAGTGACCCGAAACATGTAAGCGCATTTTAGTGAATAAAGAAGTTTCACACTTTATAGATATATTATTTGCGCGACATTTTCTGCGCTTGACTCTTACTGCCCGTATCCTTTCTATTAATAACATTTGAAATTTGACAAATATTCTTGGATTTGTCGAAAATATGCTGCATAGCTCACAAAACAAATTCAGTTTTTTATTTTCATTGCCTTGTCAAAACCAAATAAATTGATGAAGCCTTTATATAATTTAGTTAGAGAATCTTCATCTTATGTACAATATAAAATCACATTTGTTTTATTTAAATTTTAAGATTGACTTTCGGCCAATTTTTCCAACTTTTATCTCATTGTACTGATTCAACAGTATATATCAATAATGTGTCAAAAATTGTTTTTTTAATTCTATTAATAATATTTTAAATTTGACAAATATTTTTGAATTTGTCGAAAATATGCTGCATAGCTCACAAAACAAATTCAGTGTCTTTTTTATTTCCAATGCCTTGCCAAATCGAAATAAATTGATGAAGCCTTTATATAATTTAGTTACAGAGTCTTCATCTTATTTACAATATAAAACCATGTTTGCTTTATTCAAATTTCAAGGTGACTTTTGATCATTTTTCCAACTTCTATCTCATTAGTAAATGTAGTAGAACCATTAAAAAAAATTAATTTCAACATATAGAGCAAAACAATTCACAATTTCTCATTTCTAAGTACAGTGTTAGAAAATATCCATTGCAAGTTTTACTTTTATATCACCTCACTTCCAGTGATGCAGTATTTTCAATGCAATATTAATCATGTATATAACAATACTGTATTTTACATTGCATTGTATAAAATTAATAGCAAAAAATATAATTCTTACGTTTATATCATTTCACAAACAAAATAAGTATCTTGCATAAAGGAAAATAACAATAAATATGCAGTTGCATTCTATAATTACATTCATCCATTCCTCCATTATACATTAATATAATAATAGTTGTAACAAAAAGATATATATATTTTATACATTAGGATGGGTCAAAAAAAAAATTTGTGAAAATCAATTAGCAAATACTCCCAAAAGTTAGCTATGGACCTCAATATAATTTGTGTAAAATTTCGTTGAAATCGATTAATATCTTCAAATTATCTCTCGATTTAGAAATTAGTATTTATGCATTTCTTGAATACATGTGTCAAAATTCGAAAAAATATTTAAATTTCAATAGAATTTGAGGTGCGTTCGGGGAAACGCTATTAGCGCTATTGTGTCATTCTATCTTTGTTTTACGTCTAATAAACAATGATAGAATAACAAAAGTAGCGTCTCCCCGAACGCATTATTGTACTACTTGTTCTTTTTGGTTGCTGAACACGAATCCAACACAGTCAGTACACATTTCAAAATGGCGGATCCAATATGATAGAGTGAGTAAAAGTTCCGGACTGGTGAAATATCTCGGAAACTAAGCATTTCTGAAAGAAATGTTTCCTACAAAAGTTATAGTTTAAAATTTAAACTTTAAAATAATCTATTCACTGATCTGATCACTCTGACTTCGAGTGGTGTTGCCAAGGTCAGGTAAAGATCACATCGATTGTTTTAAATAGCATATTCTATTTTTGATTCCAGAATCTAATAGCCGATATCGACAGCTTTCCAAAACATTATAATAAAGTTATTTTTTATTAAGTATTTTTCGAGTTATATCCAGTGAGAAATGGCAATGGAATCGATGTCGAATTGACGTCGAGTTGATGTCAATTTGATGATTTCGATGTCGATTTCATTGTCATTTCTCACTGGGTATAATTCGAAAGGGTAAAGCTCGAAGGTTACATTATCGTAAATATTAGCATTACGCAAGGTGTCCGACGACTAAAATCTCTTGAATATTATTTAGGATCATGTCCTGGAACTTTGTCAAGATCAAGGCTATTGGAAGTTGTACCTCTTATTTTCATTTTTACGTAAAAATAAATTTTTAATAATCTGAAAAATATTCAATAAAAAATAACTTTATTATAGTTTTTGAAAATTCTCGACATCGGTTATTAGAGTCTGGAATCGAAAATTAGGAGTGCCATTTAAAAAAATTAATATGACCTTGAGAACCCAAGACCAGATCAGTGAATAGATCATTTAAAACCTTGCAACTTTCGTAGGAAACATTTTTTTTGGAAATGCTTAGTTATTTCCCGGTCTTGGACTTTACTCACATCCTTTGTGTAGTCATATTGGATCCGCCATTTTGAAATGTGTACTTCTAACCTCGGATTCTAGTGACCAAAAAAGAATAGATAGTACAAAATTGTATTAAAATTTCAATATTTTTTCAAATTTTGATACATGTATTCAAGAAATGCACAAATACTAATTTTCAAAGTCGAGAGGCAACCTGAAAATATTAATCGATTTCGATGAAATTTTATCTAAATCATATTGTGGCTCATAGCTATTTTTTTTTAGCGGGGGGGGGGGGGGTATCGCTAATTGATTTTCAAAAATTTTTTTGGTCTACCCTATTGTATACATATATATATGTATCTTACTACAGTATATTAGAAAACTATTGTATTTTCCATTATCTTGAGGCTATTTCACTTTGAAAATAAGCAATGGCATCCTGTATAGTTGCAAAGATTTTCAATGACATCGTCCCATATACATATAAGTCACATTTCTTGATTGTTTCGAAAATAGGACTAGGACAATTAGCAAAGTAAAACTTAATATTCACTTGAGTGAACTCTTCTACGATTATATGCAGGACTTGAACGCTACTGGGATCGATGTAACTCAACGCGCTCATATCCATGATTATACACTGTAATTCACATGTCTCTCTGGAGTTTTTCTCATCCAAAAAGCGACTCTCTTCGGCCAATTTTTTTCTGTACTTAATAATTTTTTGTGGACACACTCCCACAAGTTTGTATACAATGGACTTGAAATAGCTATTATTGGCGAAATTCAAAGTCCCACAATAGTGAAATATTTTTATTCCATGTATCTCTACCGCCTAAAAATAAAAATCAATATAAAAGCTGATTAATAGCTTTGTTTTCTGATTTATTCGATATGCCTTACCGCTTTGTATCTACCCATGTCTAAATACAGATCTGTATGCGGTATATGACCCAATAAGCATGTATAAGGTCGAATAACTTGCAATAGAATCATGACAAGCGACACGAGCAATCCAGCAAGCAATCCAATGTCGATATTTATCAATATTACCACGAAAAACGTTATAATCCAAATTACAGCGTCGATTTTGCTTAGTTTCCAAAATTTAACGAGTTGATTGATTTGTTGAAACATTCCTTTTAACGCTACCTGCATGAAAAGTCTTTAAGAATTATATGCTTTCTTAATGACAATGCGAGATTTTCTTTATAATATAATTCTACACGTACAACTATTATGGAAGCCAAGACACATCTTGGTAGAAGCTCAAAAAATGGCCCGATCCACAAAAGTATAATAAGCAATAATAAGCAAGATACAATACTCGCTATCTGCGTACGTCCTCCGACGGTTTGCTGAATAAGAGATCTACTCAAGGAAGCCGATATTGGCATGCAGGAGAAGAAAGAACCCATTATGTTACTAAAACCCTAAAATTAGAATAATTTGCCGGAATTATTAATGAAAGCTCAATAATTGTTAAAAATTATATTAATGTCTGACCATTGCAAGAAGTTCTTGATTCGAATCTATCTCGTAATTAAGCTTTTGTGCGAATATTAACGCCATTGATACAGTGATAGTATATGAAACCATGGTTATCGCAATACTATCGACCAATACTAAGGGTAATAATTCGAAACTTGGCACTTCTGGCTTGGGCAATCTATTTAAAAGACATAAGAATTAATATTTTAATATCTTAAATTTTAAGTAGATATTATAATAGAATTTTGGCAAATATAGAATTTTGGAAAATAGGATAAAATGTTAAAAAATAAAATTTTTATACCCCGTAGGAATATGCCCAACGGTTTCAATATCATAAATTTTTGGTAAATCACAATATCGAGAGATTAATGTTCCACCAACTACTGCAATAAGTTCAATGGGTATTGGTATGCTGCATTTTTTTTTCATTCTTGGCTAATGAAATATAAATCATATTTTTAACTTTTACAAATATTCAATTAAAGTATTAAATTAATATGCTATTTACCTTTAGATATTCATTATTGACAACAAGAATAATAATTGATACAGTCGATACAGTTACAGCGGCTATATTGGTATTCTTTATTTCTTTAAATACATCTATAACAGTCTGAAAATAAAAAAAGTAAAATATCTGTTTTTCTATTATACTAATCTGAAAACAAATACAGTTGCGAGCAAATAATATACATCATTTTGTCCACATAATTAGTGTGCATATTGTTCAACGACATAATAGATTTTATACATTTGTATATATTTGTATTATATTGAAAATATTTTAAAGCAATTTTCATAATATAAAGTTGCACATATTCGTATCTATGCTTAATGAGAAAAGTATTTTCGAAATTGATAATTTTTTATTCCGTAACTGACAAACTGATTAATAATACGTACGTCGCACAGATATATAATCACTAGAATTAAAATTCGCAGTAATCAGACTAAATAATATCTAATAATATATTTTTACATTAGATATAATAGTTTTCTTATTTAAATGTTTATATAAGCAAAAGAAGAAAATTAATAAAATATTTTATTTTTTGAAAAAAATTTTTTATTTTTATAATAATTTCTTTCATTTTATCTTTCATAATTAAATCTTTTTATACATAGATTCTAACATAAAAAAATACGGTCTTTACTAAAAAAAGATAATGAAAGATTTAAATCCCACATTTTTCTTGTTACATTGTACATTTACTATATAATTCATGGTATAAAGCTAATATTTTATATGTTATACGATAAAGATTTTCAAACCTATTGATTGGTTGCAGGACAAAGAGGTTCTCGGATTTTTCTAGGCAATCAACAAAGCTTAAAAAATTTATCATACAACAGAAACGGAAAAATGTGATATTATGTCTTAATATACTATATAATATATAGTCTTATGTACGAGAAATATAATTTATGTTTACTTACAAAAATCAATTTGAAGTAATCTTTTTGCTTTGGCAATTTTAAACCAAGAAGATCCTTGATTTGAGATATTAAAACATAAACAGCAGCTGCTGTTGTAAAACTGTTTACTAAAGTTTCACTCAGTAAAGTCGTTACAATGCCTAATCGGAATGTATACATTATTATCTATAATGATAAGCAAATCTATTTATTTTCCCTGTCTTTTCAATTTTAAAAGAAATATACTTTCAAAGATGCAAAAGGCATTTACCTGAAATATTCCGACCATTAATGTCACAGCTGTTGCTACCTGCATAGGTGTATATCCATATGAGACATCTTGGAGATTTTGTAAAACAGCATCCGTAGCATTTGCAAACGTGTGTCCGACATATGGATTTGAGTAAAATGTGACTACTTTGCCAGTCATTAGGCAAACCACAGCAAAAGTTCCTGATGAGTGCCAAGAATGTTTGATTGTTCAAGGTAGTTGAATAAGTTCATATTAAGATGTATTATTTCTAACTGTTCTGTAATGGAAGTTAATCAAATAAATGTATTAACCAAGAGGGTTGCAAAATATATATATTTTTGCAACTTGGTTTTAACTCAATGTTATCTCTAATTCAAATTTTGTATATTCTCTTAATATCACCTGATATTCTTACCTATAGATACATGCTTGGACGTCCCGAAAAGGAAATATATGAAGACAGGAAAGAAGGCCATATATATGCCAACTACCGGCGGTAAATTTCCCAGAAGTGCATAAGCCATACCTTGTGGTATATGCATAATTGCTACTGTTAGACCTGAAATAATATCAGGCAATATATCTTCCCTCCAATTATATTGGCTGAGCCATTGTACCACTGGAACTGTCGACACTATACAAGACTGCCAATTCTTTGACTTAACATTGTTTATCACATTCTGCATCACTGTAAACAGATTATTTGTAATTATTGCTTATACTTAAATTTATGTTTTTACATAGGATGTATCTATACCTCATTATAACTTACAGGATGACTTTGGTTTTTCATAATCGTAAGTTTGATTCAGCATTTCGTGTTCATAAAGAGGCCTTTCTAAGCGTAATTGCAACATATTGCTTTTGTTCATGATCTACAATGGCGAACGTGTTTAATTTTAACAACTGTATCTATCTCTGAGCTCAATGTCAAAACTGATGTGAGATTATCTTTTTTGCTCTATACAATGTATCTGTAATCAAATCAACATTATATAATAGATATAATATTTTTGAGATTCATAATAAAATTCTCTATCTCTAGATCCACAACATTTCTTCATTTTTCACGATTACGTAACATCTTGAGCAGAAATTTCCACACGCGCGCACGCGCGCGCGTGCACACACCGCGCGCGCGCACACGCACACACACACACACACACCACACACCATCCTCTCATATTTTATATTTAATCTGTAATGATTTACACAGAGTAAGACTCATCTTATGAATATATACGAACATATAATATATTATTAAATGCATCGCTCTGGTTAATTTTTATGTGCAATATGTACTACAAATATAGAATTTGAATTAGATTAAAATAATAAATATTTTTTAAATTCTGTCACCATCTCGTCCGTTTTAGCTAGTTAGCTTCTCGATGAAAAGCGTAAATTTACATGTATCCCAAGTAGCACAGCACGTTTGCAAAGCGCTAAAAAAACGATTATTGAGATGTTTGTTAACGTTTTTTTTGTAAGTGCTATGTGCTACTTGGGATGTGTATATGTATATATATATATTAAAAGGGATTCTTCGATCTCTTTTAATCCTCAGCAAAGAGACAATGAAATTACTAGCACGTGACTAATTCCGACGAAGTTTCAGATGCATTGATTAGCTGTGTAGTTGTGTAGTATAACAATATTCACAATTTCAATTTAGATCTCCTAACCTACAATACCTACATCTATCTCCGAGGCCACTTGTCAGATTTGTTTAGACTTGTCGGTGCTTTCTTAAACGTTTCGCATTATTTCTTTTTTATCTTGAATAATGTCAAATCTCGAGGTCAGAATCCAAGAGGCGTTTCATATTCTGTCGCAAGAAGCAAAAGGTCTGTCTTTTTATTTTCTTCAATATTTAAGTACGCGAACTAACCTCTACAATTAATTTAATGTATGTATCGATTTCAAAAGAATTTATATAGATTAGTATTTGGTTACGTTTACATATATTATAAATACGCATTATAATTTGCGATTTTTCGTTTAATTACATTAATAAATATTTATGGAACAGCCATATAAATGCAAATGTAAATGTAATTTGAGTAAATATTACGTAACTCTCTCCGATGTCATTTTGTAAATTTGTGTATTTTCCGTATTTTCATACATTTTGAAAAACAAAATCGTTGCTAAAGTTCCATTTTTCTTTTTAATTTCGAAGTTTTTGATGTCGATAAGTTAGATAATGATAAATCAATGAAAATTTATGATTATACATTAAACCGGTTCTACATTAGTTGCAAACCGATCGCAAGTTTGTTGCGACAGCCAATCTGAAGCTTGTATTTAAAAATCAATGCTTCATATTGGCTGTCGCAACAAACTTGCGATCAACTTGCAACTAATATAGAACCGGCTTAATGGGTCCCGCACACAAAATGCTTGCCGCGCGGCGAAAGTTGGTACGATAGCCAATCAACGTCTCGCTTGCTCGGAAGTAATAGATACATAATTTCCACCGCGCGACAAAAATTGAACTCATGGCTTCTGCACACTGGACGCGGAAACGTCTGCTTGCCGCGCGGTAAAATGTGATACGGTAGCCAATAAGCTTACAGCTCCTAATGTGTTCATTGGTTACCGCGTCGTATTTTGCCGCGCAGCAAGCATCTTATTTTCCGCGTCCAGTATGCAGGAGTTATCAATCCAACTTTTGCCTCGCGGCGGAAAGTAATATTACATCATTTCTAGAAGTTTTGCATGGTGAGGCCGACTTAAGAATATAGAATTATTGGTTAGTAGGATAACTTCCGCCGCGCGGCAAGCATTGCTGCGTTCTGTGTACGGGAGCTATAAGGCCGGTATTCATAGTCAAATATTGGGTCATTTAAAAAATATCCGCGATTTTTTGTTACTAGATGTGTGTTGATGGTCATATATCTAGTGACAAAGTACCGCAGATACTTTTTAGATGACCCAATATCTAGTGACAAAATACCGCGGATACTTTTTAGATGATCCAATATATTCAAGATTGTCTAAGTACAGTTTTAAGAAATCGAGGGCCGAACCAATCAGAGGGCCGGTCTGAACCAATCAGACAGACTCTTGCATAACGCATAATGCATATAATCGAAATTCTTTTTTATGATATGGGAGGAAAGTAAAGATTTTGATTAGTTGGTTTGCTTATATATTGGGTCATCTAAAAAGTATCCGCGGTTTTTTGTAACTAGATGTGTGTTGATGGTCATATATCTAGTAACAAAGTACCGCTGATACTTTTTAGATGACCCAATATTATGCGTTATGCGTCATGCAAACGTCTATGCTGCGGCCTTTAACGTCTTAAGACATTACTTAAAACATCGACGAGATACTATTAAAGACCATCAACTCTGAACACTTTTCGACGGTATAAAAAGGACTTAGACGAGGGATTCTAGGACGAGGGTCTAGAGATAATTGGAGAACTCTGACATTATCGACAATTGATATAAATTTGCTATTATTAATTTGCTATTATTAAATATTTGACTCATACATTATTAAATTCAATTTTTTATTACATAAATGTTCCATAAATACATGCATACTTTTAAAGCTATAATATCCTATATAATGCAAAAAAATTACAATTTTTTTTCTGCAGTTATCATCTCTATTGATAATCAAGTTAATCTCATTTGATGATAACATTGAAATTTTAAAGAATAATGAAGTATTATTGAGTTCTAAATGCATTAATACGTCTACTAAACTAATAAATCATAAAATTAATATATTATTAATTTTTAATTCTTAATTACTTCAATATTCTCAAGGACGCGAACTTCCGTAAGGATGTCGGTCTTTAATAGTATCTCGTCGGTGCTTAACGGGATTCTAAGTCCGGACTTACAATAGGTATTTTAAGCCATAAGAAATTGACCAATAAATAGTCGAATGCGAGAAGAATAATCGATTGCGATTCGTCCATTTCTTAAGGCTTAAAAATCTATTGTAGATCCAGACTTACCGAACTTGATCAATAGTAAAGACTTTTTTAATTCCAAATTCGATAGTGACATCTTTGATTAATTTCTTACATTATGTAATATATTATATTGGGTCATTTAAAAAGTATCCGCGGTACTTTGTCACTAGATATATGACCATCAACACACATCTAGTGACAAAAAACCGCGGATACTTTTTAGATGACCCAATATATTGTTCTGTCTTACTCAATCATACATCTGTCCTTATCTAAAATATGTCAACCATCTATTGCAAGACCGCACAACTACTGCTACACGGAATTTTGGCTCTGTTGACATTCTTAGTCTTCGCAAAGCATTCGTATGCACGTATTTTCTACACGTGAAAATACGTTTTTTCTAGACTTTCAATCTTAGTTCTACAAACTCGGTATTGTTCGTTCCAATAATATGGACCTCAAGCTGCACGCTTATTTTTAAGATATATGGACTCTAAAATTCTTATATCAAGCAAATACATATCTGGGATAATAACTGCACGAGCCAAAAGTAAGTGAATTTTTTATCTTTTTTTCCACTTTCTTATGAAATCCAGTGCAGATGAGGTCCTATTTGTGCGTACTTTAATTTATGTAATAAAACACTTTTGCAATCTGTAAATTCAATTTGAAGATTTTTTGCCGTGTAGAAATGTTAATAAAACAGACGATTTTAGCATCTCAGATAACTAAGCGTGTGATACTCGTACAAGATACCGCTACCGTATTACTGTTCTGCCACAAGGTGGCGATGTACGGCGTAACTGTTTGATGGTTGCAAGCGTTAGTTGCGGCGCTCGAGTCATTTCTTTTTTCCGATTTTCCCCCCTCTCTCTCTCTTTCCTTCCCCTTCCGTCTCTCTCTCCCTCCCTTCCTCTCTCCTTTTCCCCCTTCCTCTTTCTCACTGGTATCATGGCGTTCTGCGTAACTTTTGTAAGCGATAGATTTTAAGTTAGTGCTCGGTAGATTAATCATCACTTTATATTCATTGCGAGATCGGCATCGATTACTGCTCATATCGTTAGGTAATTACTCGCGCCGTCAGATAAACGCTTATGTTATAGATTTTTTAGTTTCTCATATTCTATTTCTAACCTAGTAATGCAACACCGATATTCAAGCTGTTATATAATACACACAATTACGTCTCTACTCTTTCGATATACGTTCCAAATATTCATTTGAGTTTATATTAAACTTCCTTATGGCTTGTGAGTCAGAAACAATGAGTAACATTTCTTTGTGAACTTAGTGATTTTCCGCTAATCTTCCTTCGCCATTAGTTGGTCAGACACGCTCAGCACTACATTGGGCACAGCAGCCCCAGATTAATGATCCTGACGTGATCGTGTCGCAGTTCCATTTAACCTAACGCGTGCATCCTAACAAGTCGCAGACATGGCTAGTAGTTCAGGCGATCCTCCCTCGGGCGATCAGGGCAGCGGTGCATCGTCGTGTATAGTTGAAGTGCCTGCACTTGCGCGAGTCGAAATCAGATTCATATTGTTTTGAAAATCAAAACTAGATCTATGGTTTGTACAAATGGAAACTCAATTCCTCACCGCGGATATAACTATAGATGAGACGAAATACAATTACATGATACAGTGTCTTGACGACAATTCCTTAATCGAAGTTAGTGATATCGTGTTTAATCCACCCGCGACGGATAGATATGCCGCGCTCAAAAACAAGTTAGTTAAGAGTTTTGCGGATAATACCGAAAAGAAACTGCATAAGTTATTAAATGAGGTTGATTTAGGTGACCGCCGTCCGTCGCAATTGCTCCGTCGGATGAGAGATCTCGCAAAACGGCGTGTCAGAGGGAGTGCTTAAATCTTTATGGCTGTGTATAACGCTTACTATAACAAGCTACCAAACACGAACTCGAAGAGCTGTCGCAACTAGCAGATCGAATCACAAATGTGCTATCCGCTGGCATTAACGTTGTCACAGCAGTTACACCGACAGAAGCCAATTCGATGGATTCGCAAATGTCCGCGCTTCTAGATCGGGTGGAGAAATTGAAAACTCGTTTATGCGTGGCAAGTCACAGACCTCGCGACATTCTCGTCGCAGAAACTGTTCAAGATCACAATCGGAGAACAAGTCCTGCTGGTGTCATCGATGCTTTAGTGGTAAAGCTATCAAATGTACGCAACCCTGCAGCTGGAAGCCAGCGATGCAGGAAAACTAGAGATACGACTATTTCCGGCGGCAGATAGTTTGGCCGTGGCGACTCACCGTCTCATAAAGACCGTGTCACCAAATTTTTGGTGGACACTGGAGCGGATATCTTAATCATTCCTATCTCAAGACGCGATCATATTCACATTAGCGATCGGATATTTTACGCTACAAACGATCATCCCTACGTATGAACAAAAATTACTCCAGTTTGATTTGGGATTCTGTCATATTTTTTAATGGTCTTTCATGATCGCCTTCATTATTGGCTCAGATTTTCTAGTAATTTTCAATTTACTGCCTGACATACAGCACAAGCGTTTGATCGACATTTCTTAAAATTTCTGCTTAACTTGTCAACAAAGCTATTCCTCGATTAACAGCGTTGACCGATTGCCCATACAAAGAGATCCTAAACAAGTTTAAAATCTCTTTGTATAGCTGAAATAATTAGGATGTCGATCACGCACAAATAAATTGTACACGGGAACATGTAATCGAAACAACGGGTCTCCTCGTGTCAAATAAAGCCAGACGACTCTATCCAGAAAAAAACTCAAAGCAGCTGAACAAGAATTTTACATGATCCAACAAGATCATAGACCTTATAT